CCGGAGACACGCTTTGGCTTCGATTCAGGGGCCAAAACAAGTACTGATCAGCTTAATGTCAGTCTACCCTGTCTGAGTGGGATGTGTACGTTACTATGGCGTGATATCTCAACACTATAAAACCGGCAATAGTCCGAACTAGTACAAGCTTTGACACACATACTCACATGCACGCACATGCACATACGCACATACAGACGCACAACCTCGTGCATGCACGTTACTATATAACTGCAAAAACTGTACATATATTGCTGAATCTGTACATAAACTGTTTGAGATAATTAGTAGAGATTCTTTATTACTACTTATTATAATCATAAGACTTCTTTGCTTGATTATCTGCTAATAATTAAAGTCATTTACTACATAGTGTTTACTTTTGATCAATCTGCATCTAACAATAAGTATACAAATTGTCTCAATGTTCATATGCTACATAAAGTTGGCAAAAGGTAATATGTCAAATAATGTTCATCTGTTGCAATAGCGAAAGACAATATTGCGTGAAGAAATGTTTTAATGGACAAAAGTCTGTCCTCAAGTGCCACACAATGCCAACAAACAGGAAAACATGTGACCAATAATCAGTCAGACCACCCGTCAAAATGAGAGTGTCTGACCAAAACTGAAACGCCAAAAAATCACGAAATCAAGTTCACGGTCATAAAAGCACGAATCTCAGTAGCGCGTATGTGATCCACGTGATGCGATCACTTGTCTACGAATGGGTTAAGGTCTGATGACGCAAAATGTGTAGATCGTGACCAGACACCAGCCTCAAGGAGACGATTACGCACTGTCTGAGTAAACATGTCACCACCACTGGGGTTCTACAGGTCATTTCTGAGTGTAGTGGCAGCCACGAAGTGATGTTTTGCTGCTATCAAGAGAAACCTGTTCCTCTGTGTGTGGTGGAACGCGATCGACCACCTGCATGTCGCTCGGCAGCTGATCCAAACGTCTTGTATCGATTCCCTGCCTTGCTGATCCCACTTTGGCCGACACCAAAGTCGTTTGCAACTTGACGTGTTGACCCATTTTCAAGCATGCCTGTGCAGTTGCCTAATTCTTAGGTAGTCAAACGACGTCTTTGAAGCTGAAGGGGCATTCAGTTGTTGCAATCCTTAGTAGCAAATGTTTTTGTTGTTTCTGATAATGATGTGCAGCGATTCTATCACGATACATCCAACACAGGTGTCTAAGCACCTCCTGCACATTGTGACTTTGACTGCAAGCTTCTGTCCGTTCATTATAAAACTGAGGTCGTAAAGGGGTCACCCAGTCATTGTGACAATACTTTTAACCATACATTTGGATATTTTTATCTTTATTTGTTGTTGGATTTTATATATCATCAAAACGTGATCTTTAGCAAACGTTGAGTAGTATAACATGCATGTACTTAACTCAGATTGTGAGAACAAAAGCTTTGTGTGGGCCCATCAAGCAGATGTAATTATCGATAACATTATAGATTGATATGTGCGTATAGCTGGAACGTGAATGTTCGTTTAGAATAGGTAGAACAGGTAAATTTCTGTACTTGACACATCATTTTGTTTAGGTTTTAGATCATTCCAATATCTCATTCATGTTAAGGAAATTGGTTGTAAATATGTTATAGATCGATTTATTATGCATGTGTTAGTGACACACTGTTCGTATCTGAAACATGATGGCCACCCATGAAGACATGAACATTAATGAGTCACTGGATGAGATTACTATGTTCTCTGAAATACAAGTAACCTCTTTCAACTTTGTTTTGATTGTTCATGTCAAATGTATTCTTGTGATACTGTGTGTTTTCTTGTGATGTGTGTATTCTAGTCATGTCGTGTGTATTTTAGTCATGGTGTGTGCTTTCAAGTCATGTGCGTAAAAACACCTGCTCCGATTTCTGTTTAGCATTCCACCCCAGCCTACATCATGCAGACACTCCCATAGCTGAAGGTGATTTACTGAATCAAACGCTTTTTTAAAATCCACAAAAGCAACGTATAATTTCCTTTTTCTTTTTGATAAACATATTTTAACAATTCAACGTAACATTCAACGTAAATATGTGATCAGCAGGAGAATATCTCTGTCTAAAGCTTGCTCGTGTTTCGGGTAGTTAACTTCGTATATTAAACCAGTTTGTGAGTCTCGAGTTTAAGACACTTGTGCAAACCTAACTAATTGTACACAATAGAGATATCCCTCTAAAATTATCTGGATTATTTTTGTTACCTTTCTTATGTAGTGGACCATGACGCCCCCTTGTGGCTACACATGTGCAATGACTGAACTGAATTAATGCTGACAATGACGACACTGCTTTTGTCAATCACGGTGTCCAATTTCATGTGATTGAGTTCACGCATATTCTGTGTAGATACTTTTACATCCTCTGAATAAATATCCTTATTTTTGAAGTATGCGTTTCTTTTTTTGACGAGTGTGCATAAGACTTTAACCACATTGGTTAAACCCACCACCACCCACAAACATAGGGATTCGGACACAGGGTCATAGGTTTCTGGCAGGTCTAAACACTGCTATGTTCTTCAATTATAAGGCAACAATGGTCGTCGAAAAAGGCGACACTCATGCTATCAATCACTGGATGGCCCGATGACTCGATTATTTACAGAACGCCGCCATATAGCTGTAATATTGCAGAGCGCGGCGTTGAATAAAAAACAAAATCGTCAATTATAGCAAACGTTTGCGTATAGATCAATACAATAAAAGCCCTCTACATTTAATTTTTATTCAAAGTTGTTTATTAGGCATAATTGTGCTCAAAATAACAAGAACAAAGTAACATGAAATATATTGAGAATATATATAAACCTTCACATATCTTCTGGACCATTACAACAAGCCAATAACGCGAGTGACTCGGATGTGTGAGAGAGAGTTGAGTTATAACAGGAAGTAAACATCGTTTTTACATTAATGCTGCCTCAACCATATGTTATTGTCAAATCGAAATTAGATTTGAAATACAACTTATTTACATTCACGGTTATTACGACTTGGGGGTAAATCCATAAAATTCACAATAATGATCAATAATAATATATGTTTTCCTTCAGATGCCACCTGGTAACGGCACACGATTAGTGTTATTTGATTTATCCAAGATTGTAACTTTGAAAAGGACGTTATGTGGACGACCTAAATATTTTATCTGCCACAATTTATTATCGTACTATTTCCGTATAATCACACGTTTCCTTCGGGCAAATCTTAATAGGTCACTGGATAGTGTCAACATCAGCTGGAATGCCGCGCTTTTGTTGTGGAATACCCTTTTTACATACGACGGCCAAAGGACATAACTAGATATTCAGCTTGATATTTGCAAAACTGGTAATTTGAGTGAGAGGGAACTATTAAGTATTTTTCAAAGGCACCTCCGATATTCAGAAAGGGTTTTCAGACATTTCAGCAGCTGGCATCAGCACTGCAATTTGACATTTTCTATTTGACATTGGTACTTTGCTTTCTAATGTATATGGATATATACCAATGAAGTAATACTGAAGTCATATATTCAGATGTTGCACTATCCGTGACATGGTGCGTACATCTTTTCTTAGATTTGGTTGTTTTCGTTCTGTATAACATCATACGGTGACTTGTCGTTCTCTCTGGTGAATTCATTCAATTCTGTATAGTCTTGATCTTTCACATCGGAAGTGGGCGCATGAGTAGACATCTCTCCAGTGTTGGGCGTGTCCGTCTTTCTCAACTCTTGAGGGTCTGTGGTAGTTGTGGGAATCCATTTCAGTCTAAAACAAAAATTGTGATAGAAGTATGATACATGCCTATTGTACGTGTAGATGCTTGTGATGTTTGTTCCACAAGCATAGAAAACAATGTCAATAATCTGTTATTTAATATCATACAAAACTAAGTAATGAAGAAGTTACCTTCCAGCCTTCAGCAGACATATCATCAGTCCACCAATCAGCAACAGCATTACAGCAATTCCTACTGCTCCCCCAATGACGCCGGTTGTAACAGGAGATACTGGATTAGATGCAAAGTCACTTTAGTCTGGTGTTTAACATTTTTTGTGAATAAATATAAACTCAGCATATGACAACGTAAACAATAGCATGGAATATATAACGGGTGTTTGATGATAGATGTGCAGAGATCAAACGTCATCAATACATGGTGACAGGACTATAATTGATATTTTTGTATCCGTATACCTCATAATTTGGGGGAAAAACGACTAAAAAGTATTCAAACCCCTAATATCCACATCACATCGGTCACCAGTGAAGCCGTCCAGACATTCTCCCGGACAACTTCCATCTCCATCATTACACGTGACGTCACAGTATCCACAACGAGAACAGTCACGCCCATAGGTTCCAGGTTTGCATTCTGAAGGTGGTTAGGTGTTCAGTTATGAAATGATATGTTTACATATTCTAGTTTCGATATAACATTTTTATTGATATGTCTGCTGAAGGCTGTACTAACAACCATCATATATGTATATTGATAAAACCTGTGTGGTTATCTTAAGACTTTATTACAAATAAAGGTTGGGTTTAAGGAAACATTACTCTGGGTACAGTCTGTTCCGATCCATCCTTCCCGACATCCTGCGGCGCAGGTCCCTGTCTCGTGATCACAGGCGACCCGTGCAGTTTCACAATGACGTGAATCACAAGACTTGCTGCAGTTGGAACCGTACTTCCCGCTCGGACATGCTTTAAGATCAGTAAATTTGATAATCATCTTACATGTACACGTATCTTTGTTTCCCGAGGAGAAAGGTTAGAGAAAAAATGCAACTGGTTAAATATTTCAGTAAAAATGATTTTCAAGAGGGAGATTTGCCTAATCAGTATGTGGGGTGAGTAATTAACTGTTAAAATATTTAAAATTAATCTAAATTGAATTCAACGCAATTTAATGTCACGGTTTGGAACAAACTGGCACTATTTACACAAGTTAATCAAAAACATTCTCAAACTAATTCTCACGTATCCTGCAGTCAACATTCTTCCAGCCATCCCGGCATCCATCGGTGCAGGAACCAGTGACGTCACACACAGGTGATGGCGTTTCACAGTTGCGGGAATTGCAGAACTGAGTGCATCCTGGTCCATACCTTCCTGGTGGGCAGTTTGCTAGCGCTGCACCAACGAACTTAGTTTTAGCATTTGAGAATTATAATAATATTTATTGCAACAGTCCTTAATGGTGAGATCTGCATTACAACTAACAGTCAAAACGAAAAGAATCAGTAAAATCACATCTTTGCCTACATTTAAATTTAAAACAGTACACATTGTAATACTGAACAATATATCATTAATAAAATACTAAAGTCCACGCTAGTCCATCATCTTTGTTATATCAGATGGACTAACGTGGACTTTATTATTTTATTATATATTACATGTACACCGAGTGAACATTTACCTCATTTTTGTGTGTGTGTGTATATATGTATATCACAAAGAAGTGATAATGTCAAATGTTGAATCATATAATAGCATATATATGTCAGTTTAGATGTAAACTAGTTTATTTGATTCAAGATTTCCTAACGACGTTTGGAAACAAAAGACTGGAATTGTTTTAATATTGTCTGACAACACAAAATTGAAAGAAATCAAATGAGATCAGGAAGTACCAAAAAGGGTCTGTTAAACAGGGGTAGAATGAAGGATTGGGCGATTACTGTTTGCCTTGTTAGGAGCCAGTTTGACCACGACAAGAATATTTTCCTCGCCAAAACTATTTCTTTTCAAAATATGCAGATACCATAGTTTTCAGATTTGTAGTATAATAAAGCCTGTGTCACCTTGCACAATGAAGATCCGATGTGCATGTTCTATTAAGTTTAACGGTTACTTGAATGTTGTTCCTATTAACAAGAGAAGATTCTTTTCAACGCAATAGTAAGATATGATTTTGTTTGTTGTTTAACGCCGCTCTCAGCAATATTCCAGCTACATGACGGCGGTCTTCAAATAATCGAGTCTGGACCAGACAATCCAGTGACTGACATCATGAACATCGATCCACGCAATTGGGATCGATGATATGCATCAACCAAGTCAGCGAGCCTGACCACCCGATCCCGTTAGTCGCCTCTTACTTCAAGCATAGACACCTTTAACGTCAAGGATGGGTTGCTGAAGATCTATTCTGCCCAGATCTTCATGAGATACATGTATCGACACACAACGATGGACTCTTATGAAAATGAACAAATTGATAACCCATATACATATGGTGAGACGGCTGCAATGCATTATATCACGGTAAATATCTAATGAAGAATTTGATGAGGTTGCGAAGTTGTGTTCACAACATGAATCTATACTTTCTAAAAACAGTACGTGCATATAGCGGCGTTTTGATGTAGATTCTGACACGGTTATGAAGTTGGGGTATCTCACTCAGCCTTAATCACGGTTGATGTTTGGAGCGTTTGGTGTTGATGGCTACTTGAATTTTTCTGATTTTGAAGTCTTTGAGGTTACTTGAAAGGGCTTTGATTTTGTCCCACTTGATACTGAACTCAAACCATCAATCAACTGTGATCTAGGCTATTCTTACATACCCCCTGTATATTCAACCGAGTAACATCACAGCGCTCATTGACAAAACCAATATAATTAGTCTAGAATTTTTGGTAAGCGTCCATGTCATAATTATTCCGTTCCAAACAGCACAACTCTTCACTCGTGAAGAAATATAATTTTACAGTGTTTTCTAGTTTCTTGTTTAACACCACACCACTCCTCACGAAGAGAAGTTAAAGTGATGACGTCAGGTGTGCCGGGAACAATGTAACATATTCTTGATTACTACCAGCACCCGTCCCGAGTGAAGGTCCAAAGTCAATGATGGTCTGAGAAGACATCCTACCACCCCTGGACATGCTTTTTCAGAATTAACTTCATCCTTGAGATATATTATTGTTTATGTGGACCATATTCAGGGTTGCGTGGATACCTGCAGTACTTAAGTGTCATTTGAACCAAAATCAAACTACATACTTAGCTATTGGTTTGTCTCCTCAGGGTGCGACTTACAAGTTCGTTTGAGAGACTATTTACACATTGTGCATGATGACTTCCAAAGTCGATTAATTCCTGAGTGTCATTTTGATCATATTTAATTGGGTATTACTTATTACGAAAATATAAGCGTATCATGTCCCAGCGCTGGCACACGTCACAAACACATGCAAAGACAAGTCAATTGTTGAACTGAAAGGAACACCAAAATATATGTTCCATGTCAAATTAATCGTACATCCAATTCTTGTGTTGACCAAACTAAAAGAAGGGAGTGTCATACAGACAACAGGTACGGTGATGTTCTGTAACTTACCTCTGGAGCAATCTGTCTCTGTCCATCCATCTTCACACCCATCAGGACACTGTCCTGTCACTCTGTCACATGTAGAGGAGGGTGTCTTGCAGTGTCGGGAACTGCAGCTGCTGGCACAGTTAGGGCCGTACATCACACTGGTACACGCTGAATAAGGCATAAGTGAAACTGGTGTTAGTTTGAAAGTAATTCCTAAAGAGTTCTTCTAGCTGCAGATATGATTGAAATTATAACACCTGTAATGTAAATTAAATCCTTAAACAAACTGTCCATCATTTTGGAAGAAAAACATTACCCAGCCTTCAATTAGTTGATATCATAAACTGACGATTAATTCAAAGTATACCGAAATATGTTTTTAGACCTAAACACTATTTACGTTAATGGATTGATTTACAGGTTCCATCATAGTTCTATTACGTAGCTAGTTAGATTTCGTCGCAAATTGCTGGGTTTTGGACGATGCTGCACTGTAAATGATTTCATGGATCGCACTTTCACTGCATAAGAAGCATGATACCTGGTCACATAGGGATACACAAAGGCGACCATGGCACAATAAGGTCACCTGTCAACGTTTGTCGTGTGAGAATATCACACCTGACTCGCAAGCAGGTGTGAATAATTCCACGACACATCAACAGGAAAAACAAAGCAATCACTATTGTTTATTATATTATTATGGTGCAGGGTGACTTACTTCTAGAGCAGTCTATTTCTGTCCATCCATCTTCACACCCACCAAGACACTGTCCTGTCGCTCTGTCACATGTAGAGGTGGATGTCTTACAGTGTCGGGAACTGCAGTTACTGGCACAGTTAGGGCCGTACATCATACTGGTACACGCTGAATAATACATAAGTGAAACTAGTGTAAGTTTGAACGTAATTCATAAAGAGTTCTCCTAGCTGCAGACATGATTGAAATTATAACACCTGTAATGTAAATTACAAACTGCCACTCATTTTGGAACGTAAACATTACACAGGTTTCGATTTGTAGATATCATCAACTGACGATCAATACAAAGTATATATGGAAACATGTATTTAGTAGCAAACACAGGATCTCTTCCTGCAGTGACGGTTATTGCTTTATTGGTTATAGTTTTTTTCATAATAACCAGAGTGGCATGCTGGACTATCTATCAGTCATCTCTTAATGTCATTTTAAGTAAAGTGTACATGTAATAATGATTGTTTATTTAATGTGATACACAGGACCAACTGTAATCATTATGGACATTGTGTCCAATATTTGATTCAAAAGAGTTTTATTTACTCATCCCTGAAGTTTGTAAAATTATGCAACATGGCGGTAGGTCAACATGTGAAAAAGATCACATGTATAAAGTGTGGCACTTGCTCTAATAACAAACTATGGAGTTACCACAACTAGGCTTGGACCAATATACCACCACACCGGTACACATCGGTTCCCCACGGCAATACAATATATATACAGTCTTAGGTAGTATCGAATAAATAAACATATCTTTACAGACACTATGAGTACACAAGTATTATGTGCAGAACAAACTTCATGTATCCCCTCAGGTGATAAATTTGGTCAGAAAATTTAAAATAACTATACATGATGACTTGCAATTTATATTGTCTTTCCTAAACTGTTACATACTGTTTTACATGCAGATTTTCTTGTAAACCAAACTTGATATAGCAATTCAATCAGCTTTACACGCGTTTTTTTCCCGTACTACCGGCGATTCGCTTAAATTTAAAACAGTACACATTGTAATACTGAACAATATATCATTGATAAAATAATAAAGTCCACGCTAGTCCATCATCTTCGTTATATCAGATAGACTAACGTGGACTTTATTATTTTATTATATATTACATGTACACCGAGTGAACATTTACCTCATTTGTGTGCGTGTGTGTGTGTATATATATATATATATATATATATATATATATATATATATATATATATATCACAAAGAAGTGATAATGTCAAATGTTGAATCATATAATAGCATATATATGTCAGTTTAGATGTAAACTAGTTTATTTGATTCAAGATTTCCTAACGACGTTTGGAAGCAAAAGACTGGATTTTTGTTAATATTGTCTGTCAACACAAAATTGAAAGAAATCAAATGAGATCAGGAAGTACCAAAAAGGGTCTGTTAAACAGGGGTAGAATGAAGGATGGGGCGATTACTGTTTGCCTTGTTAGGAGCCAGTTTGACCACGACAAGAATATTTTCCTCGCCAAAACTATTTCTTTTCAAAATATGCAGATACCATAGTTTTCAGAATTGTAGTATAATAAAGCCTGTGTCACCTTGCACACTGAAGATCTGATGTGCATGTTCTATTAAGTTTAACGGCTACTTGAATGTTGTTCCTATTGACATGAGAAGATTCTTTTCAAAGCAATAGTAAGTTATGATTTTGTTTGTTGTTTAACGCCGCTCTCAGCAATAGTCCAGCTACATGACGGCGGTCTTCAAATAATCGAGTCTGGACCAGACAATCCAGTGACTGACATCATGAACATCGATCCACGCAATTGGGAACGATGATATGCATCAACCAAGTCAGCGAGCCTGACCACCCGATCCCGTTAGTCGCCTCTTACTTCAAGCATAGACACCTTTAACGTCAAGGATGGGTTGCTGAAGATCTATTCTGCCCAGATCTTCATGAGATACATGTATCGACACACAACGATGGACTCTTATGAAAATGAACAAATTGATAACCCATATGCATATGGTGAGACGGCTGCAATGCATTATATCACGGTAAATATCTAATGAAGAATTTGATGAGGTTGCGAAGTTGTGTTTACAACATGAATCGATAGCTTCTATAAACAGTTTGAGCATATAGCGGCGTTTTGATGTAGATTCTGACACGGTTATGAAGTTGGGGTATCTCACTCAGCCTTAATCACGGTTGATGTTTGGAGCGTTTGGTGTTGATGGCTACTTGGAGTTTTCTGATTTTGAAGTCTTTGAGGTTACTTGAAAGGGCTTTGATTTTGTCCCACTTGATACTGAACTCAAACCATCAATCAACTGTGATCTAGGCTATTCTTACATACCCCCTGTATATTTAACCGAGTAACATCACAGTGCTCATTGACAAAATCAATATAATTAGTCTAGAATATTTGGTAAGCGTCCATGTCCTCATTATTCCGTTCCAAACAGCACAACTCTTCACTCATGAAGAAACATAATTTTACAGTGTTTTCTAGTTGCTTGTTTAACACCACACCAAGCACTATTCTAATTTTATGACGGCTGCCTTGACCAGAAAATTCAGTGATTGACAGAATGAACAACGTCTTACTCAGTCGGGTGCGATGAAAAGCAACCAACTAAGTCACCGTGTTGACTCTTTCTACCAGCTTAGGCTGCTAGATACCTTTTCTAGCCAGGATTCCTCACGAAGAGAAGTTAAAGTGATGACGTCAGGTGTGCCGGGAACAATGTAACATATTCTTGCCTACCAGCAGCACCCGTCCCGAGTGAAGGTCCAAAGTCAATGATGGTCTGAGAAGACATCTTACCACCCCTTGACATGCTTTTTCTCAAACATTTCAGAATTAACTTTATCCTAGAGATATATTATTGTTTATGTGGACCATATTCAGGGTTGCGTGGATACCTGCAGTACTTAAGTGTCATTTGAACCCACATTCAAACTACATACTTAACTACTGGTTTGTCTCCTCAGGGTGCGACTTACAAGTTCGTTTGAGAGACAACTTACACATTATGCATGATGACTTCAAAAAAAATTTAATTCCTGAGTGTCATTTTGATCATATTTAATTAGGTATTACTTATTACGTTAAAAATAAGCGTATCATGTCCCAGCGCTGGCATACGTCACAAACACATGCACGGACAAGTCAATTGTTCAACTGAAAAAAACACCGAAACATATGTTACATGTCAAATTAATCTTACATCAAATTCTTGTGTTGACCCAACTACAAATAGGGAGTGTCATACAGACAACAGGTACGGTGATGTTCTGTAACTTACTTCTGGAGCAATCTGTCTCTGTCCATCCATCTTCACACCCATCAGGACACTGTCCTGTCACTCTGTCACATGTAGAGGAGGGTGTCTTACAGTGTCGGGAACTGCAGTTGCTGGCACAGTTAGGGCCGTACATAGTACTGGTACACGCTGAATAAGGCAAAAGTGAAACTGGTGTAAGATTGAAACTAATTCCGAAAGAGTTGTCATAGCTGCTAATATGATTGACATTCTTACACCCGTAATGTTAATTACATCCTTAAACAAACTGTCCATCATTTTGGAACAAAAATATTTCCCAGCTTTCGATTAGTTGATGACATAAACTGACGAATTAAAAAAAAGTATACCGAAACATGTTTTTAGACCTAAACACAATTTACGTTAATGGATTGATTTGTAGGTTCCAGTATAGCTTGACATTACGTAGCTAGTTACATCTCGTCGCAAGTTGCTGGGTTTGGGCGATGCTGCACGAGTAAAATGATTTCATGGATCAAACTTTCACTGCATAAGAAGCATGAGACCTGTTCACATAGGGATATAAAAAGGCGACATGGCACAATAAGGTCATGAGTCAACGTATGTTGTGAGAGAATATCACACCTGACTCGCTTAACGTCAGCTTAACGAACCAAAGACTTGTTGCGTCCAAGCAACACGGATGCTTGTATGAATTGTAATATATAACTGTCAGTCAGCACTTTGTATTTTAACACACGCGGTATTCAGCTGCAGCGTTATTACACTCGAATCGTGATGTGATAATGCTTTGACGGATTGATGGAGCGTATCAAAACGTGGCTTTTGACATTTGGACGATTGAGCTATGAAACACGAATATTTCAGGAAACGAAATTGAAATTATGTTCTGTATTAAACTCATATTGTACAGTATCTACAAAAGTGAACCTACCATTACGACCATATATTTATATAATGACAATGACCTGAAAATAGAAATCCTGTTGTTGAGTATGTACGATACGAGACTGAACAATGTAAACGTCCAGAGCTGTTGACAATGAAACCACCAGAAAGCCGCGAAAGAATCGACATTTTAGCAACGTGAACGACCCGTGATAAATTGAAACCAAAATCAATTAAGCAATAGAAAATACATGACTGAACAAATTACTATGTACTGTGCTTAAAACATTACCTTGAGTACAATCTGTTCCCTGATACCCCGCCGCACATCCACCGACACACTGCCCTTGTATCTTGTCAGGGCAGCTAGAATCCATCTTGCAATGTCGGTCAGCACAGAGTTGGCCACAGTCAGCTCCATAGTACTCAGGGGCGCATGCTAGTATATAGGACTGTCATATTCAAATGTATGCGGTATCATGGCGGGAATGGGATGCAAAATATGAGACAAGTTATCTACTATCAAGGAGAGACGGTCGGGTAGCTTAGTGGTTAAAGCGCCGAAGACCCGGGTTCGAGTCCTGACATGGATACAATGTGTGAAGACCATTTCTGGTGTCCCCCGCCGTGGTATTGCTGGAAAATTGGTAAAAGCGGCGTGAAACCATACCCATTCACTCACTTCTATCTAGGTGATGAATGGAATGGCGTGATTGTTTTGAAATTTTCCAAGTAAGTAGTTTCGGACGTTTTATCAGTAATATAAGCGTGAAGTAGCCTGGTGGTCTTTTCGTTACGACCTACAACCTGTGGCTTCTGGACTACTTGGTACTAGATGAAATCAACAGCACATATAACAGTTTTTATTATTAAGCCGATACAATTTTGAAGACATACTGCCAGTCTGTGGGACTCTTAACTGCTACGGGTACCCTTTTCGCGAACAGCTGGTGGCATCGCTGATTTTTAGTGATCAATTCATATAATTATCAACGTTAATTTGCCATTTGCGCCTTATGGAATCTGTTTCATCGGTTATTCAAAACGTGTTATTCTCCAGCAAGCGTCACCTACACATCAGAACTCCTGACCTTCGCTGAAGGTTGTCTAACAGTGCGTATGCATCACTCATGGAACATAGTTCACATTAATCTTCAATAAATGTCATCAATTCCCGATGTCAAGTATTCGACTGAGCACAAACTTTCACAGAGTCTCATTTATTGACATTAAGAACAATCCTGGGACTATTGCTGTTTACGACACTAAATATTTCATGATCGGACATTTCATTGTCAGTTATTCATGCCTACATTACCTTGACCCTACATATCAATTCATGTACAGAGAGCTACCTTATTGTTTTTTTCCTACACTGAAGTTAATGACATTTGTTGCCAGCAGGGCTCAACCACGGCTGACACGTGACAGAACCGAGTGACATGGGCAATGAATGTACATTTTCAAACATAATACGTAGGAGCTGAGACAAATGTTATGTATAATGTGGTATGCTATGTTCAGGCAACTATTTGGTAAGAGGCGACTTACAGGATCGGGTGGTCAGACTCGCTAATGATGCATGTCATCACATCCTTATTGCCTATTTCGGTGCTCTTGATGTCAATCACTGGATTGTCTGTATGATGTACTGAGCACTGTCATATAGATGGAATATTAGTATATTTTTTTTTAATTTGACGTTTACACGATATGCCGCGATTTTCCATTGGGCGAGAGGCTGGTCACATGACCGCGAAATTGACGTTCATAAGTGTATGAACGACACAATTTGACGTTCATACGTTTTTCACGAGACCGTGTTCTTGAAATGACGTAAACACTGACGGACTATTTCCACATTCCTGGGAATTCCCAAGCACGAACACATACATAAGCGTTATTTCTGATCATGTAGAACCTTTAATCTTGGTCTCAGCGTTTCAGTATACATTGAGAAACGCCAGGGAGATTGACTGCATGGTTGTTCACGAATTTCCTCGCGACGGCCCATCCTAATTAACAAACGAAGAAAAGCACATCCAAACTATCGTAGTATCGACTCGATCCGTGTCTTGGATGACAGTGACCATCTCCAGCAATCTTTGAATTTATCTTAGTGTCTGTTTGACGCATCTTTAATCACCTTTCAATGATCGGCCAGTTGATCAATAATGACAAACACATGTAACTGCCACAGGTTCATTCACAATTTCGGAAATCTTTGGCGTCACGTTTATCGTGTCGGCCATTTTGACGTCTTGTACTTGATGTAAATGTATTACGACGCGCTGTCATTGTGACTGACCTACTGAGGTAGTTCTTTACAGACCTTTCTTATCTAATGAGGATATGATTTGAACATATGTGTTGCGCAAGATGTTTCTGAAGTTCAAGTTGTGCATCCATAAGCTAAAGGCACCTCTCTTTTTGAGGAACTATTTTATTCCGCGGTATAGCTGGTTGTTGTATGGCTGTCAGTGTAAGCATGAAGTCACACGTACTAAATGAAATTGTCTTTAGATCTTGGCCTACATCCTTTGAGGTAAAAATTGTCGCAAGCTCTGACGTTCATGCAGTCTGGCCCTCACTCTATGAAGGTTCATACCCCAATGAACTCACACAGAGTGATGGTCAGTTCTTGACAATGCTTTAATCTGCATATCTGAGTAAGAAAGTGACATAATGTAGACAATATATTGACGATAAATTTAGTTAGTTTTATATGCATTCAGACATATACACCGCAAATAATGGCAGGGAGCGACAAAAAATGAATCAATATAAACACAAATTATTTATTAAATCAATTAAATCTAATTTGAATAAACATGACCTTGAGTACAGTCTGTTCCCTGATATCCAGCCGCACATCCACCAACACACAGTCCCATGACGTCACAGCTGGAGTCCGACTTGCAATGACTTGCAGCACAGGACTTGTCACAGTTTGATCCATAATACCCAGAAGAGCATACTAGTAAATAGCAATGTCATATTGTCATCTACATTGTTACCTGTATATCTTCCTGCAGTGCCGGTTATTGCATTATTGGTTATAGGTTTGTTTCCATAATATCCAGAGTGGCATGCCAGATTATCTATCAATCGTCTCTTCATGCCACTATTAAGTAAAGTGTACGTATAATTATGACTGTTTTTGTAATGTGAAATACAAGACCAACTGTAACCATTATTGTGTCCAATATCTGATTAAAAAAGTGTTTTATTTACTCATCCCTGAGGTTTGTGACATGTTATGCAACATGGCGGTAGGTCAACATGTGAAAAAGATAACATGTATAGAGTGTGGCACCTGCTCTAATAACAAACTGTTTAGTTACCACATCTAGGCTTGGATCAGTATACCACCACACCGGTATACATCGGTTCCCCATGCCAATACAATATATATATAGTCTTAGGTAGTATCGAATAAATAAACCTATCCTTACAGACACCATGAGTACACAAGTACAAATGTTCAAGTACTATGTGCAGAACAAACATCATGTATCCCTTCAGGTGATAAATTTGGTCAAAGAAAATTAAAAAACAACTATTCGTGATGACTTACCATTTATATTGTCCTTCCTAATCCGTAACATATTGTTTTACATGCAGAGATTTTCTTGTAAACCAAACGTGAAATAACAATGCAATTAGCTTTACACGCGTTTTTTCCCCGAACTACCCGTGATTCGCTCAGAAAATACACAACAATATAGTTTAAAGAATTTTGTTGCAATGATCCTAAGAATTCTCTCTGAAACTCTTATTTTATAAGGAATAATATGTGCTAGTATCGTGTCATTGTATTTGCAGATTAACTATATACATTCACCAGTCACTGTCGAGGCTCCCACGCTGTAAATAATTGTGAGTTGGAGCGAAATTGCATGACGTTTTTAAGAAAATCAATAAAATGGATTACAAACATAAGTTCGCTGAAAACTCATCTTCATATCAAATGACCCGAAGAAACACAGTAGTCCGACTCAATACAACTGTCTTGGGTTCTTTGGGACATAAGGTAATTGAACCCAGTTCTCCAAAGCGACGTTTGTGATGTGGTTTAAAACCTTCCAAACTAGTGCACACATATGAACAACAAAAATATACTAATTGACGAAGTGAGTGAGTGAGTGAGTATGGTTTTACGCCGCTTTTAGCAATATTCCAGCAATATCAAGGTAGGGGACACCAGAAATGGGCTTCACACAATGTACCCATGTCGGGAATCGAACCCGGGTCTTCGGCGTGATGAGGGAACGCTTTAA